CACGCCTGGACTTCCTTTATCCTGTCTTGATTCTTTAACCAGGACTCCTTCAACAGCACCGTTAGAGATACACTACAGTTGCATTTTACAGTAATGAAACTCTCCTCCAGTACTGAAAGTTTCAACAGCTTAGATAAATGCCAAATATTTAAAGCTACTGGTCTAATCAGAAAAGTTCTCATAATACACCAACCTCACGTCAGTCCATGTTCTAGACATTTTTGAACAAGTCAACAGGTCACAAACACAACAATAGCTAATAAGCAGATCAATGCTGTTACACAAGAGACTGACTCTTTCACCGCACAAATGAATTCTGGAGTTGAACCATGGTAGCCCATGAAAAATTGGATAGTGGAAAGCACTATCCAATATGGGAGAGGGTTACTTTCTAACGATTAAGATGAATCATGCGTGAGCTTTTAAACCCTGCCAAAACAAGTAATACAAGTTATTGTAGAGATGCTTATGGCCACCTGAAGTAGAAAAGACACTCAACTGAGCCACCTATTCCATAGTTTGTTTTAAAGCTCATCTATTCTGTACTAGATTAGCTCCATTTCAGAGGGCACAAAATCCAACCTCACAAACTCTATGGAGATGGTAAAAGCACCCTATGAAAGAAAGGATGGACAAACCCATATACCGTATGAAGTTCCTTGTATATTATGGCAGAACTGCATTTAAGTACACCTCGCATAAATGCTGACAGCAATCTTTTTCCTTTATCTGAAATGTTACAATAAAGCTGATGCAACAGCATGTGCCTGTCCCTTAAAACACTTTCCACTTCTACCCACTAACGCAGGCACTGCTTTCTGATTATGTGAATTTTTGTCAAATTTACCTTTTATGGAAAAAGTGTTTCCATTAAGTTTTACTTCCAACAACTTGAAAATAAACAAAAAACCACCATGGTCTGAATGCCAATTTCTCCTCTATTTTTTTCTAGTAATAGCCAACAATCTAAACCCAGTTGCACTATTTTTTTCATTTGTAGCAGTGTTCTGGGTAAAACAATTAATCCTCTGCGATGGAGGGGCCTTCCCCACACAAAGTCTTGCTAAATACATACTTATAGTTCAGCTGCTGTTTTCCAGAAAAACTGTTCCAGTATAGCACAGGTCCCTTCTCTTTATATATTAGCAATGATGAAATATGCATTTCTTAAAGTGTAAAGAATCATAGCAATGAATATGCATTTTTATTAATAATCTGAGCTCAAACTAATGTTGCGCTCTGCTTTTCAAAAGGTCGGGAGTCCAGCTGTACTAACACCCATCATTGGTGAGGTGTATCTATCAGATTAAATCGATTACTGAAACAAGGAAATGTTGCATATGTATGTCTTGCTGAGGTACACTCGTGCTGTTAGAGCTGTCCAAGAAATCTGGAAATTAATCATATTTTCATCATTAAATGCAGGGGACTTTTGATTTATTCGATAAAGTAACATGATCATTTCCCTAAATTAGCTGTACCGCAGAGCTAGAATTCCAACCTATCAGTAAGGGTATTTCTACTGAAGTTTTAATAAAACCCGGTATCACTCACACTAATCATCTCTTTATGCTGTCACAGGTTTTTCCCAGTAACTTACTGAGCTCTAAAGAGCTTCTATTAACAGCACAGAGCCATACCACCTTTCCAAAAATAGAATTCAAGCCCAATTATTACTCAGATTTTATTTTTTTTTTACTAGCAGCACTTCAGACAGCAATAAAATGAAATGCAGATACATGTTTTTCCCTGTCCACTTTGTAAAAGTGGCAGTCATGCAGGAGATTTTCAAAATTAAAGAAACCGGATTATAAAACCACAAAATTGACCCAGGGCCTTTGGGCATACAGAGTACTTACAGTTATAATTAATTTTTTAGTGTGACAAGATTTTAAAACTGACTCCGGAATTCTGGAAGCTGTTTCAAATTTCCTCTATTCCAACATAGCAATTCTAATCACAAATGAAACAACTTAGCATTCAGTTCAAAATTAAAACTACCTCAAAACGTGTTAATAAATAGCGTATCTAAATTCTTGCTAAGCTGTTGTATAACAGGAGCGTACACAGTCCTGATCCAAGCAGGACAGGGCAGGCTGCTCTACCATCCCACCACCTAACAAGGCAGAGGCTGCAATCAGGGTTCCCACATTTCTGTCAATGACAAAAGTGCGGCCTCAGAACATGTCCCCACTTACTAGACCACACTGAGCTTGGACCATTCACCGCAGTCTTTTTCTCCAGTTCTTCTTGACACCAGCAATGCTCTCACAAGTGAGTAGTCACATTAATGAAACCCAGAATCGCCAGTAAGAAGTTGCATGGTGTAACACTCATTTCTGTGGATCAGTACTGGTATATACTTAAGCAGGCTCTGCACAGGAAGATGCAAGACATGTTCCTCCTGGGCAAGCCAATTCCAGAAGTGTTTCAGTGTTATCCTTAATTACTAGGATAGGGACAGGAAGAAGGGTGTCATTTCAAAATTAGCAGAATTAAAAGCAAATAAAGAAACACTGGGACAGAGGAAATATGTGCACAAAGATGTAGTTTACAACTCTGATGTTAAACAGTATTTTAAACACCCAATGTAAGTGTAGTTTGATTATCAAATTGTGTTTTAAAACAGGACACATCCTTACAGCATCAAACGTTTTTCTCACACATACAAGACCATGTGTACCTGCTTTCAGGATTTCACAAACAGACCTGAACTCATACTTAGTCAAAACAGTTGCCAAGTATAAGCTGTAAAGGCAGAAGCAAAACATGAGAACAGCATCAAAAGAAAAGAATTTACCGTTAAAACTAAGCTGAGGCTGGAGTTCTGAGCAATAAGGCAAAGTAATTATACATGTGGTAAATGCAAGAAAAATTAAATTACTGCAGGGCAGATCTGACATCTGTGCTAGCAGCGGTGCTACAGATCATTAGTTATAGGCATTTCACACCAAGTGCTACAGAAGATAATTTAAGCAATGATGACACTAGCTCTTTTCCATCTCTTACCCTAGTAACATTCTTTTTTCCATTACAGGGGCTACTTCTTCCAAGACTGACCTCTTAAACATTTTATGTGTTAATGTTTGAGCAACCAAACTGTACTTACACAAGCTTTTTTAAATAAAAACCCACAGTTTTAATATTAAAGTACATTTATATTTTATGGTATCTTAAAACAGCAGCTACGTGCAAAGTTGTAACAAGTCAATTAAAATTTAACTCCCTGATGAATTTTAATATTGTGTCCTTTTAAAATATAAATAATTTAGCATTTTCGCTAGCTAAAACCTAAATATTTTTTCCATTTATGCTGTAATTAAAAGACCTATTCATTTGTCTCTAGCACTGTACAGCTTTGATTTAAGAATCACTCCTCTTCCAAATTAGAAAGACTTGCCCAAAAACTAATTCAGAAAACTATTTCTGGCAGTGTATGGGAGGCTACCCTGCATTAATTTTGAAATTCCAGATGCTAAGTTATTTAAAGAAATAAGTATACACACACGTATGTATGAGTTAACCTGTAGTCTCTAAAGTTGACCTGAGGACACAGCTGGGAGACAAATCTCATGAGGCACATGCTCTGTCAGAAACCTAGATGGTACTAGAACATGTCTAAATTATTCCTGTATGGCCTAAGATGTAAAACAAAAAACAAACGACTATAATTCCCCCACCCCCCCCGGTAATTTTTTACGTAGGCATTGCTGCCACCATATGGCCAAACAGCTGAACTACACCTACCCTTCCTCTGCACCTTGCAGATGCTAACCTGCTCAGCACACTACACCTTCTACAAGCCCTCTCATTCCAACTTTCTACTCCACCCTCTCACAAAGCCCCATCGTTGCCACTGATTTCCCAAATTACTTCCACCTAAAAGAAGATTAGAAGGAACTTAAAGCATTCAGATCTTGCTGACAGTCTCTTCCAAGTATAGGACACCAGCTGTAGGAACAATTCAGTGTTGTAGAATTATGCCAAACCAATATTCACAAAGACAACAGAAAAATCTTACAAGTGCCAGTCCAGGTAACTGAAGCCTAACTGATGTGCCAAAAAAGGCTGAAACAGTTCCTTTCCTGAAGTGCCCTCCTTGAAACATCCTCCCAGAAAGCCTGCTTTTAGAAAGCTGGACTCGGCACACTACGCTGTTGCCTTGCAGAGGCTCAGCAATCTCCGAGCAGGTTCCTCATACTGAAGAGACATGGTGAGTTAAGTCACCACAGAAAGGGAGTTGCATAATTTCTCACACACAACAAGCAGGAGTCTACATTCATTCCTGTTTATTAGCTCTTATGAACAGTAGCTTGCTTCATACTTAAGTTTTAAAATACTTTCCTGTAAAGCCTGTTAAGGATTTTTTTTTTTTTAGTTCTGCTGCACATGACCTGGTAAGCTCATTTACAGAAGTGCCAAAGGCACCACAGAAATACCAGCATATGCCATAGCTGTGGGTTTAACTCCATCACCTGTGCGATAAGGCTCCACTGGTCTGAATAACTCAGCAGCATTCTTGCAGAGTTTGGACCTGACTTCCATACGTTTGCGCGTCACATTTGAAATAATCCAAAGAACCAGGTAGTCCTCAATAAATACCGTTTATAGTATCTTCACCCTTTCTCTAGGTGATCAATAAAGATATGAATTCTGCAGTTTATGAACCTATATGCTTGCAGATCACTTTTTATTTGCACAACCATTTCACCTGTAGCTTTCTAAAAGGGAGTGGGAAAAAATTGTATCATGTATGATGACAAATACCATATATCGTTTCGGCAAGGCCAGAAAGGAAGTCAAAATGCCCCAGGGCTTCCTGGAGAAAGCTAGGCTGCAGAAACCATTCATTCAACAGTCACTATCTTTGAAGGACTGCATAAGAGAATGGCTCAGTCAGTCAACTAAAATGTAAGGCAACTGAACAGTCCCTGCTTTCTCTTGCATACCAGTCAAGAAAAAGATACAGAAAAAAGAAAAGAAAAGGTGAATACACTCACCTTTTTTGCTCTTTGTGCTATATTAGGCGTTCTAGTGAGAAGTTTTTCAATCAGGTATTCTCTATTCTGCAAAACCAACATTCGGTAAGTTAAAAATCAACACAAGGAAAGAAGAAATTTCATGTAGATTTTAAGGCAGAGCAAAATTTACTCATAGGGTTAAACGTTTTACCTTGGCTTTCTGGAAAAATTTGCATTTTAAAAGTTCTGCTGCTGTGGGCCTGAAAGATCAATAATAAATTAGAACAGAAAACAAAGACCCCTCCCAGTGAATACAGTACAAGACGTTAGTTAAATGGTACGTCTCTAATACTTTTGAATTAGTACTGTATGAATGGGGAATGAATGATAATAGCTACTGAATTAATTCACACGTACTCACTTACCACACATGAAAAAATTAAGCCTCCCTACGGCAAAAATAAAAAAATAAAAAAAAAAAAAAAAGAAAAAAAAGGAAAAAAAAAAATCAGTCTCTAAGTTGCCAATTTTCCCCCTTTTTCTTTCAACACAAATGCATTTTACCCTTAAAAGAAACAAACAAAAGAAGTCAGGTATCATGTTCTTCCCCAAGTGACTCTATGAATGCAACTGAACTTTGCTCCACAGCAATAAAAGAAGAATTACATTTTCCAAACAGCAGTATCAATACCTGCTACCAGCATTCTTTTACTTCATTGATGTCAGCAGGTATTCACAAGAAACTATACTGATACTATTAAAATGATGCATAAACCAAGAAGAGTGTCATCAGGAGCATCTTCCAACCAAACAGACAAATAAAAAAATCAAAGCAACAGTTATAAGGTCAAAACTTAGACATTTCACTTTTACTCGCAGTTCTGTTCAAGCATCTTTCTTCCCATCATCATCAAGTTTATATTTTTGATGTTTTCAAGAGATAATCACAATCTCACAGCTACTGAAGTGATTCCAACAGCAGGATTTGTCTCCCCTAGCTTCAGGGATCTAAAAAGCTACTGCTCTATCCAAAGCCAGACTCTGGTACTGAAGCAGACTCTGGAGAGAAAGCGAAGCATCTCTTGGGATGAAACAAAATCCTCCAGGTTCTTTCCATCCTTTCCATTAGGAGCCCATACCACTATCCAAGACTAATTTTGACACGGCTAAATTTAGGGAAGCCAAAATCTCCAAGACACATCATTTCTAAATGAACAGAAGCCACATCTCCTATAGTTTTCCATTTGAATTAAAGCAAGAGACTGGATATAGCACAAACTAGGTAAGACAGTGGAAAGCTTCAATTTGGAAAATTTCAGTCTCAAAAAAAACCCTCAAAATCTGAACTAGTTTATTTCTCTGAGGACACATCTGAGGAGTAAGTGAAGAAAAGAGGAGTAGTAAGTAGTGTGTATGTATATATTGGTTCACTCCCGCTAGAAATAATGAAAAAACTCTTGCCATCAACAAAGAGCATCCCACTTAGACACAGACAGTAGTTCCATAGAGCACTACTTCTTCTTCCCCTCCAAAGCACCAAACTCCACAATAAAGGAGATTTTAGTAGTGGTACTGTGGAGACCACCAGGCTTAGCAGTAATTCACACATAAACCTTGAATGAGCAAAAAGGAAGGGGAACTTTAAAAAAAAAAAAAAAAAATCAGTTTCTGTGTCAAAGTTTTAAAGTTTATCGCAAATTAACTCTGAACTTCAAGACAAGTTTCAGTGATCCAGTACCATCACATCTCATAACAGGGATATGCACAGTTAAAAGCTAGAATCTTAGTAAAGTTTTATCCGAACTAGTGTTCTCCATTCCTCTACCATTAATTATGCCAGACACTTCTGAACTGGTCTGGACATGCTTTCTGGGCCTGTTTTCCACACAGGCCACGGCAGTGAATTGCAGCTGAGGACTGTAAACAGCATCCTTGGCACTGGGGAGAGAGAGAGAGAGAGAAACACCCACACACTGATCCCCAAAAGAAAAACCATCACGGTCTGAGACAACAACAGTGCAATGCCAGTCCTAGAATTTGCCACAAAGAACAGGCGCTTCTCCCACAATTGACGTGACAGCTATGGAGGTATCTCCGTGCAAAACTAAAGCCTGGCTTGGGAGAAACATAAAAAATAGCAATGACCCCACAATATAAGGATACTCGCTCCTTGGTTAGAGTAACTGCCACACAGATCTAATCACCTATCTGCTAGTTTAGTTGTTCAATACAAGGCAATTCTGAGTATGAAGATACTGCATGTGTTTAAATATCAGTGTAATAAATTAGTGTAATTAGTTTAAACACTAATGTTTCAACACTGATGTCATAACTACAGATCAGGTAATTCAGCACTATGTATTCAAGGAGAAAAGGAAAACCGTTTTAATTATTTACTTCTCATGTTTCCATACCAATTTAATCTTGCCTTGAAAACTGCTGGACACTGGAAGTGAAAAGAAGCTTGATTATCCAGAACACATTTCACTCTTATCTGTAAGCAGCCAAAACTGCAGAGCTAAGCTTAAAGCATCAGGACTTGCTACTAAGACCACCAATTGTAAGGGGTTTGGGAATCTGAAAACAGTGCACAAATGATCCTTCAGTGAAAAAAAGAATTTGAAGGATTTCAAGAATAAAGATACTGCCACGTAATCTTTTTTCTTAATTATACTTGTTCTCTAGTATTGCTGCTGCACCTTTTTGACTTGACTCCCTACAGCAATATCCTGGACTTAAGCTAGCGTAACATCAGTGAAGAGAAGTACACACCATAAAAGACCCACCCAGTACTCAATCAGAACAATCTTTTTTCCCCAGAAATACCAGCTCTGAAACTCTTCAAAAAGTGATATATTAAATACCCCTAGGAAATAATTTTAATTAGAATGTGCCTCCTCCAACTCTTCAGCAAAAGAAACCTACAAAAATGGGTCTGCATAAAAATGAATAAAGGATAAATAAATTAATCGTTCTGGGAACTTGAGACCTCAGCAATGGTTTTAGAATAGATGATTCATATTTTCATCATCTTGCCTACCCCATTCACAAAACATAGCAAGAAAGAACAAATCACAAAGATATTATGACATGCAATTGCTTACATAAACATGAGGAAAACTCTAAACAAGCTTGGAGCCCCTAACTTTACAGTAAAAAATAAATACCTCTTAATAAGTAATTTTCTCTGGAAATACCCACGTTAAAGGCAATACTAAGCTAATGTCACAAAATGAGAAAAATCAACATAAAATTATTTATTTATTTTTAATTTATTTTAAAGGCCAAGAGACTGATATGTTTGGTTATAAACAGTTCTGTCTGATCAATCTGAACAGTCTTGTTAGACTTATGCACAATATCAAGATTCATATGCTGCCTCAGATAAGAAATTAAGATGTAGAGCAAGGACTTTTGTGTGATCAGATTTTAATTCAACAGTATTTATATTTATTTAAATATAAATAAATCAGGTTAACAACCCAGAAGAAGAAAACTTAAGCGACCATTAAAAGGCAATTTCTTCTCCCCAGATGAAGATGACTGAAGGCTACTACTTACAAAATTCAAATCATGCACTTAATTTTGATGTTTAAATGCTGGAACTTTAAGAAGTCTGTATATTTAAAAAAAAATTCCACTGTACATGGCAATAATGACCTACCTTTTGGAAGGATCTTTTTGAAGGCATAATGAAATTAGTTTTCTAAAGGATTTGCCATACTTTTTCATCATCTCCTTGTCCTCTACACCTGTCTCTAACGTGGGAGGGTCATTTTGAAGCGTCAGCATTAATACCTACAGTAAACCCAAAAAAGAGGTACTGTAATCAAAATATGTAGAAATTAAGAGAATAAATATTCCACAGAATACATATATTTAGATATCTTGAGTTGCTATTGACAATGAAGTAGTGCTAACTATCTAGCAGCATTAATAATACAGCTAACAGCATTAAGTAATACAAAGTGTTAAGTAATACAAACTGATTGTTACTTTCATAGGAGGGTATTTGTGATAAGGTGCTGCTCCTGTTGCTAACTCAATGGCCGTTATCCCAAAACTCCACATATCAGCCTTGAAGTCGTAACCTCGCACCTGGCATAGAACCAGAAAGGAAAAACAAGGTGATGTCGTCTCAAGTTCCAAAACATTAAAGACTGAAAGTATTATTTTTTTTAACAATAGGAATACCTGCTCCATTACTTCAGGGGCCATCCAACATGGAGTACCAACAAATGTTTTCCTTACTTTGTTACGAGTAACATCACCTCCCGTTGCTAAAAATGCACTAACGCCAAAATCTGGGAAGGGGGAAAAAAAAGTAGAAATCTATTAAACTACCAATAACAAAGCAAAAGTTTTACACTTTAGAAATTAAGTCAATTCATAAAGGTCTACTTATAGAAACTCTCCATGGCAGAGCTTACCTTTGTTTCATGGCACACTGTTCTTGAAATGCTACGGAATAGATGGTATAGTTTTATCTGGGAGATCTGCACTAGGACACCCTCAAGTTTCCTAGCATGCGTCTTCCTGAATATGGTTACAAAGGACTCCAGTACGTCTGCCACTTAAGGCTTTCAAATGTGCACTTTGAACCAATGTTTGAAAGGTTTGCATCTGCTATTCTTCAAAGATAAGGCACTACTTCTGTATAGCTACTAAATTTGAATGCAATTTGAACAAGAGGGATTACTATCTATAACTTAAATACTTACGGAGATTTGACAAATCAAAGATAATCAGCGAAGTGATCAACAATATATATTTAATAGTAGACCATGACATGAAGTTTTTTCCAAATTCCAAAACAGCAAAAAACCTTAGTGTTCTGTTAACCTGTCACTACGCCAGTGACAGCTGTAAGGGAGAGGTAGAGGATAAATGGAAAAAGAGGAGCAGATTACCAATGTATGGAGAAATACTGTCATTTTGAATGGAGCTACATGAAGAGTATTTTAGACTGTGCTATTTACAATCCGGTTATACTGAAATCAAGTAGTTTACTATAGACCTACTTCAATTTTTGTTTTCCTATTGTTTTCCTATTGTTCCCTGACTTTAAGGTTGGGGGAGGCGGGGGGAAATAAATCAGTAACTACAGAAAATGTAGTTTTATCATTACTTTCCACTAAACAACCATTAAGCATCACAGACTCAAATTCTGGACCTCTTCTACATCGCTAAAACACACAGAAATACAGTAGACAAGTAAGAAGCAAGCCTCAAACAATATTCTTTAATTTTCCCTGCAGCTTGCGTGATGAATAAAAAAAACTTTTTTTTTTTCCAAAATCTGTAAGTTATAGAATAGACAAGTTTTGTTTGTATTTCTGAAAAGCATGAACAGCCCCAGAATCACCTACTTCTAATTTTTTAATGCCCTAAAAATCAATGCTGGTATTAGTGACAGTTTTCTGAAGAGGAACTACTGCATATAAGGAAAAGCTGAATAGGCAGAAATCAAAAATAAATAAATGAATACATAAATAAAGGAGAGATACAGAAAAAAATTTATGCCTTTTTAGTACCAAAGATAAACAGTTTGTATTGGACAATTGTTTACAGGCCCTTTCAGGAACTGAGATACATAGCTAAAATCCTGACTTGGGATTTTGAAGAGCCCTGATTTAAGTGTATTAGTAAAGCATTTTGAAATTAAAGGAATCGGAGCTGCCCAAATAAGCATAGCCTACAAATCATTTATTCCCTAACATCTTTTTCACCTCAGCCAGGGCTAGGCACTTGGCCAAGCCTCAGCCAAGGCCAACATCCAGAGTTAGGCATAGGGCTGGGAGAGAGACGAAGCCTATGGCCTCCAAGGGAGCTGGGCTGCAAGGAGCCCACTAAGGGAAGGCACAGGCTGCAAAAACATTTGTACCTGACAGCTTTTTCCACCTCAGCCAGGGCTGGGGCTCTTGGCCAAGCCTCAGCCAAAACTAAGCTCTAGGGTCAGGATTCAGGCTTGTGAAACAGACAAAGCCACTGCTTCCATGGCAGCAGAGCTGCAAAGCAGCTGCTGCAGGAAGGCACAGGCTGCAAAAACATTTCTCCCGTAACTTTCTCACCTTGACAGTGGCTGTAGACTTTAGCCTAAGGCTCAGCCAAGGCCACGTGTAGGGTTACAGTTAAGACTGGGAGAGAAATAAAGCATCAAGCTCCTGTGAGAATGGGGCTGGCCAAGGAAAGCTTGGGCTGCCAAACAATTGTCCCTGACAAATCTTTCTGCTCCATCTGGCTTGAGTATCTGAGGCATAGGCTCTGCCTATTTTTAACCAGATCTTTTCCAAACATTTCTGTGGGTATGGATTACCACAGGAGTGAACACCCTGAGAACCACTGGTGCAATGGGTAAGTTCACACAGCCACCTATGCACAAAACCGAAGAGAAGAGCAGGATCTTCTGCCTAGACTCCTCAAAACACACATTCTTTTTCTGACAAGTTTTATTGGAACTATCATTTCTTGGATGGACTAAATGCATCATACAGCCCATACCTTCTACACTTCCACCAATCTCTGGGTACAATTGCTCTTTGTTATATGTTCCTTACCTTATCGCACATATCTGTTCCTTTACTGGTTTATTTGATATTTTGACCTTCGCCAGGCAATTCAGGCTTAGAAGGCTGAAACCCTGATGAAGTACCAATCATCCTGTTTGCCCAAAGCACCATATGTTACAATCTGTCCTGGTTTCGGCTGGGATAGAGGTAATTTTCTTCCTAGTAGCTGGTACAGGGCTGTGTTTTGGATTTAGCATGAGAACAATGTTGATAACACACCGATGTTTTCGTTGTTGCTACGTAGTGCTTC